ACCGTAAGATACGTCTTTTTCAAAAAAATTAATAAAATAATCAAAATTTTCTAAAAATTAATATAATCCCCAAGATTAATTAAAGAATTTTGTGGTATTATTGACTTTAAATTACGGTATTACATAATCAAAATTAATCACAAAATTCTAAGATCAATGTCAATATCTATATCTCCACTTATATTATTATTATCATGTAAAATGGGCAATACATATTCCTCTTCACTTTCTCCATGCAAAATAGGTAAATTTGGACAGGTTTTGGTGAATCGGGTTGGGTGACCCGGTTTTGACCCGAATTTTTTTTGGACATTTGATCCAAATTAATAAATTCGTATCGATTTATATCGATATTTTTAAGGATACGAACGGATACGTATCGTATCGTAGGATACATATCAACGTATCGAATGGTTTAGGATACACTCTCTGATACGTATCGTTGGCGACCTGTATCGAATCGTATCGTATGATACGTATCGGGTATCGTAGGATACTAACAACCATGGAACTAACTACTTTTTCTTTTTTGACTTTTTAGCTAATTAAAAAGAAGTCAAAATTTTAAGGGTACTTTCGTCTTTTTAATAAAATATTAACGAAAAATATAATAGAACCTAACGAAGGGTGAGAAAGTGTCATTTTTAAACTCGAAGGGTGGGAAATGTTATTCTCCCATGAATAAATAACTAAACATCTAGTTGGTACTAGCTTGTGCTAGATGATAATTGACTTATATATGACCCATCAAAATATTAAAAACTCTGAATATTCTACTCTTGTTCATATAGTGGGAGATCACTTGCCACCACCTAATTAATTCAATTCTACAAAATCTACTAATAAAATTATCTAAAATATTCGTTTATTCATTTAGCCCTTTAGCCATTAAGGTGAGATATACTTAATGATGTTGTGTTTGAGTTGCAGAAAAGACAATTATCGGGTTTCCCTTAAAAAAAAATACTATTTCAATTTTCAATGAAAACACACATTAATTGTTCATTATTATCTATTATTACCCTTCAACTACCCACTAGATTTACGTAAACCAAACTCATAATTGATGTAATTTGGAAAGCAAATATTACGTATTTACAAGATGGCAAGCTGGGATTAAGGCTTGATATCCTGAATTATTCTTCATTAATAAGTTGATTACATGTAATCTCACCATTAAGGTGTAATATTGTATTACCTTATTTATACTCTTAAAACATTGTATAAATTGAACTCTGTATAATCATACAAAATAATACAAAAGATTCAATTGAATTACTCACTGTCTCTTCTTTAAGGCATACTCCTAGCAACATATTGCTTCTCTTGCCTCTCTCTCTGATCAGCTTCTGACATGGTATCAGAGCTATCTTGTTAATTTCTTGCTTCCGCATTATTGATCTTCTCTAGCCAGTCTTCCAGATTTTATGAAGCAAGGCATTTGGGTCTCTTTCATCCAGCAACTCTTCTTTAGCCAATCTGCCACATCTTACAGCAAACAGATTGAGTCAGAGACTATTTTCCAATTTCCCACAACAAATTCCAACATATTGAGTCAACCACATTTTTTTTTAATTTTTTCTCCAAAATTTCCAGAATTCATCAAAGAAATTTGCTTCAACCAAGACTCCCCACATGGAACCAACAAACAACGACCAACCCATCACATCACCAACCTCAAACCAGTCCACCCAAAATAACCAAACCAACACTCAAAACCCAAATCTGTTGGGTCTGAATACCAACCCGACAGGTTCTAATCCTTACCCACTTTTCCAACTTGTATCACCCTCAGTAAAACGCCCAGAACCAAGTGATCCTCTCTATTCTCCGGCAACTGGTGGCTTCGAGCTTGTGCTCGTGAAACAACCTCTCACTGGATCCAGCAACTACGCAACTTAGGCTCACAATTTTTGGCGAGCACTGATCACAAAGGACAAAGAGGGGTTCATAGATGGAACCCTCTTGCCCCCAGAAGATCCGCAAATGCACAAATATTGGGTAAAATGCAACACACTCGTCTGAGCTTGGCTGAGCAATTCCCTGACCCAAGATATTGCCGCCGGACTCCCACAAACAGAAGACGCTCACGAAATGTGGCTGAACATTCAAGAAATGTATGGCCAACTTGATCTCGCCAAAATCTTCACCCTCCGACAAAGACTTGCCGAAACAAAGCAAGGTACACTTACTATCACAGCTTACTTTAACAAACTTTATGCCCTTTGGAATGAATTAGATGCAGTAGCGGAGCCCTTTGAAGGATCGTCGGCGACTCTCTACCAAATCTAGAGAGCCAAGAACCAAGATCGGCTCATTCATTTTCTCATGGGTCTGAATGAAGCATTCCTCCCATTTCGCACCCAAATATTGGCCACCACACCAATCACATCGTTGCGCCGCACTTACCAGTTGGCGGTGCAAGATGAGAGTCAACGCCAAACCACCCAAGATTCATCCAATCTGCTGATCCTGCCGCATTCATTGCTACCCAAGGAGACTCTGATGTTGTAAAGAAAATTGGAAGGGGAGAAGCTTATGGGATAGCAAAGGCAGATGGTGTTTTGCGAAATGGAAATGGTGGTGGAGTTTTTGTGCGGCTGGGGATTCAAGAAGACAAAGATTTTAACTCATATGGGGGCACTAATGTAACCAACGGCTCAAATCTAATTTTTTCATCCAATGGTCAAAATTCCACATCTCATATTAATGCATCTAATGGGTTTAGTGGATCTTTTCAAAATAACGGTTCTGGATCATCAAAAAGGGGCAAATTATATTGTGATCATTGTAAGAGGAGAAATCACAATCGGGAAAATTGTTGGAAGCTTCATGGCCGACCATCCAGTCAGAAATTTGGTAATTCATCTGTCAATCATACTTCCATTAATCCTGGAAACATTGTCACTACACCCATGATCAGTTCAGAACAATACCAACAGCTCATCCAGATGATGAATAACATTCCCCGAGCAAACACGACATCCTATGCAGGTACTATTCTTTGTTTTAATTTAATTAAAGATGATATCTGGATTATTGATTCAGGGGCTAGTGACCACGTTATTTGCAACCAGAAGTATTTTTCCCATATATCCACAGAATCCTCCACTTCCGTACATTTGCCTAATAGAAATATCATACCAGCCACACATAGAGGAACTGCTCAACTCACACAAAATTTAATTCTTAGAAATGTTTTATTTGTCCCAAGTTTTAGGTTTAATCTCATTTCTGTATCCAAAATCTATCGTGATAACAATTGCGTCCTAAAATTCCTTCCTGATATGTGTGAATTTCAGGACCATTTGACTGGGAAACCAATGGGCTTGGGTAAGGTTCAAAATGGTCTTTACTACTGGATGGGTGATTTGGTCGCAACTTTCCCAAAATTATCTTGTATTACCGAAAATAAACTTTCTGATTGTAATGCAAGTATTAATAAAAATTCATTTATTATGCATCAAAGATTGCGTCATAGTGCGTCAATTCCACACCCTAAGTGTTCAATTTGTCCTCTTGCTAAACAGTCTCGCATAAGCTTTCCGAATAGTGCCACACACACTACACGCCCGTTTGCTCTCATTCATCTCGATATATGGGGACCTTATCATACACCCAACCATGACGGTTCTAGATTTTTTCTAACAATAGCTATTGATTTTTCGCGGGGAACCTAGGTATACCTCATGACCTCCAAAACACAAACACTCACACACATTCAGAATTTCCTATCCATGGTCACAACCCAGTTTAACCTATCCGTCCAACGCATTAGAACTGATAATGCATGAGATTTCTTCAATTCCCATTGCTTGCTACTGTTTCTATCCTTAGGTATCCTCCATGAAAGTTCTTGTGTCTACACCCCTCAACAGAACGGTGTCGTTAAGCAAAAACATAGACATTTGTTAGAAGTCACTCGTGCCCTGAAACACCAAGCCAACATACCTGTCTCATTCTGGGGAGAATGTGTGATCACAGCTACATACCTAATCAATCGGATACCATCCCAAATTTTAAAAGGTAAAACCCCATATGAGTTACTCTTTGGAAAAGCACCAGACATTGGTCATCTTTGGGTCTTTGGATGTTTGTGCTATTCAACTGTCCTGGATTCCCATGACAAGTTTGGACCTCGAGCTACTCGGTGCATTTTTATGGGGTATCCGATGCATAAGAAAGGATACCGTTTATATGATCCAGTTGAACAAAGGTTTCTAGTTTCTAGAGATGTCATATTTCATGAGGACAGTTTCCTATTTTCTGAGATGACCACTGCTCTGGACAATAGTTCTGCACCTCCAATGCCTTTTCTGGAGGATGATCCCTCTCCAGTACCAACAAGTCCTCTCTTCACCATGGAGCCTGCCACTGACACTCAGTTGCCTCCAAATCCTTCAGAAAGTACATCATATTCTCTCTCAAATGCTCTACTCACTCCTAAGTCTTCTCCATCTATCAACGACTCCTCTCCTACATCTCTTATTGTGCCACCTGAACCTACCCAACGGCGGTCTACACGTCCCACTCGACCTCCCATTTGGACTGCTGATTATGTATGTCCTACCATACATGCCATTTTAGGTACTCCTTATCCAACTTACAATTATGTCAGTTATGACCGACTTTCTCCTGCCCACAGGATTTGTGTTAGTCAGATCTCCGACAGCCATGAGCCCTCTAGTTACACTGACGCTATCCAATATGAACATTGGCTGCAAGCCATGGTTGATGAACTTACAGCCTTGGCCCAAAACCACACATGGGATCTTGTCCCTCGCCCTCCACACAGAAAGCCTATTGGTTGTAAATGGGTTTACAAGATCAAGCATCAAGCAGATGGTTCCATTGAACGATACAAAGCTCGCCTTGTGGCCAAGGGCTTTACTCAACGAGAAGGCTTTGACTATCAGGATACTTTTTCTCCCGTTGCCAAACATGTCACCATTAGGGCCTTCCTTTCCATTGTTGCCATTTGAGATTGGTCTCTCCACCAAATGGATGTCCATAATGCCTTTCTTCATGGTGATTTACATGAAGAGATTTATATGGATCTACCTTCGGGAATTCGCCGACAAGGGGAGAATACTGTATGTCGTCTGCGAAAGTCCCTCTATGGTCTGAAACAAGCATCTCGACAATGGAACGCAAAATTCACAAAAGCTCTTGTTGGCATAGGATTTAATCAATCCAAACATGACTATGCACTATTCTCTTGGAAAAGAGGTAACTCATTTATCGCCCTTATTATCTATGTGTATGACATCCTTATCACAGGAAATGATGATGTGGCAATCAAGGCTCTAAAAGAGCGTTTACATAGACATTCCCGCATAAAAGATTTAGGGGAGCCAAAGTATTTCTTGGGAATTGATATTGCAAGATTTGCAGCAGGGATATCTCTTAGTCAACGAAAATACGTACTTGAGCTTGTATCAGACTCAGGATTATCTACATGCAAACCAAGTGCCATACCCGTTGAACAAAATACCAAGCTCTCCACTCAGCAATATGACAATGCAACTTCAGTCTTAGACAATGATCCACCGCTAAAAGATCCATCAAGTTATCAGAGACTTGTAGGACGATTAATCTATCTTACCATGACACGTCCAGACATCAGCTATGCTGTCCATATCCTTAGTCAATTCATGCATGGACCAAAGCAATCCCATATGGATGCTGCAACAAAGGTACTCAAGTATTTAAAAGGGTGCCTTGGACTAGGACTTCTTTTACCTAGGAATGGAAATCTGAATATGGCGGCAGATTGTGACTCCGATTGGGCTACATGTCCAATGACAAGAAAATCTCTTACTTGTTTCTGTATAAAGCTTGGTGGATCTCTGATCTCTTGGAAAACGAAAAAACAGTCAACAGTGTCCCTTTTCTCTGCAGAAGCAAAATATAGAGCTATGGCAAAAGCCACGTGTGAAATCATTTGGATTCTCGTGTTATTAAAGGATTTAGGAGCTGAAGTAAGAAAACCGGTCGTCTTGTACTGTGACAATAAGGCTGCAAATGACATAGCAGCAAATCCTGTTTTCCATGAAAGGACAAAACACATTGAAATTGACTGCCACTTCGTCAGGGATAAAATTCAGGAAGGAGTAATCAAGACCATGCATATTCGCACCCCAGAACAACCAGCGGATATCTTTACAAAACCATTATGTAGTCGACAGCATTCATTTTTGCTTGGCAAGCTCGGTGTTTTCGACATTTACAAACCACCAACTTGAGGAGGAGTGATGTAATTTGGAAAGCAAATATTACATATTTACAAGATGGCAAGATGGGATTAAGGCTTGATATCCTGAATTATTCTTCATTAATAGGTTGATTACATGTAATCTCACCATTAAGGTGTAATATTGTATTACCTTATTTATACTCTAAAACATTGTATAAATTGAACTTTGTATAATCATACAAAATAATACAAAAGATTCAATTAAATTACTCACTATCTCTTCTTTAAGGCAAGCTCCTAGCAACATATTGCTTCTCTTGCCTCTCTCTCTCTGATCAGCTTCTGACAATAATCACTAGTTTTACTTAATAATTTTAATTTATTTCCTTAATTAAACAATTTTTAAATAATATACCCATTGTGCATTAAAGTTTATGAAATTGCAAATTAACCCTCAAATAGACAAATACCTTCTCAAATAATAAATAATCAAAACTAAAGCAACCCTTAAGCAAGATCCCAATAACTTTTAAAACTGGTATCAAACCAAACAACTAGCCTGTCTTCTTCTTCTCTTCTCCTCCTATTGACTTCTCTTGCGGTCTCTGATCCTCTCATCGCATTAACTCACGCCCAATTTCTCATTTGATCTGAAATCATCGTAAAAATCACAACTTCTTTACTTTTTGTTGTCAAAAATTTGAACTTTTTGTCACCGGAAAACGATGCAACAGCTCTTGTTCACTGTGATATTTTCCGAGATGGTATTGATATTGGTGTTATCGTTCAAGACCCCCTTGAGGAAGCTTGTGATCATGAGCCTTGATCGTGTGAAGCGTGGCCGTGGGCCTGTGGTGATCAAAACGGTGGCTGGAACGGTCTTTGTGATGTTGATTTCGAGTTTATATAGTATGGTGAAGATCCAGAAGCGTTGGATCGATGAGGGCTCGGTCAATCCAACGGACCAGGTCCTCATGGGCAAGCACCTTCTTGAAGCCACTCTTATGGGTAATTATTGTTTTATTGAATTGTGTTTTCTGTTTTTTTTTGGGGGGGGGGTTGTAACTAATAAAGTTGCGAGCTTTATGAGGTTTGATTGATAATGTAGATTGGAATGTGCTTGATTTAGCGTTCTGTTATGTGGATACTGTTGATTGGCATATTGTGAAATACCATGTCTCTGAACTTTGAGGAATTAGAGTAACTGAAGTATCCAACTTTGTATCTCAAATGATGTGGCTGATTTGAGATTCGATGCTTTTATCGTCTGAAATACATCGTCTGAATTGAGAAAAGAAAAGGGCGGATCTACTAGCACTGAGTTTGTGTATCCATTATCTCTCACCTTGAGCTTCTCAACCAAGTCTCTACTTGGTTTTTTCAGAGGTGAGAAACGGATTCTGGGAAGTTTTGGGAAAGATATAGCAGCATTAATTCTATTCGAAGAAGGGCAAGAAATCAGATGATTTGAAACTTGTAAAGAGGCCATGAATGGTATTGACAATATAAGCTATTAAGCTGTATTTCTGGGTTGCTATCAGGTTTTGTTTCTTTTGTTCGAGTTTCTGAAGAATGAGAATGAAAATAAGAGAGCGCCGTGGCTGTATTTATAGCTATAAATTTAACCATGAATTGACAAAACAAAAGGTCGTAGTCTCGCAGATTGAATTATTGACCTGCTGGATGACTTGGCCCACGGCTGAACTCTTCCTCTTTGATCAAAATTCTTATAAATTTCTTTTTGACTTCTTTGTCAACTGTCGAATATTCAATATTTAAATGTTTCAAGGGTGAGAATTCTTTTCGGTCCCTATAGTTTATGTTTATTTTAAGGACACTTGTTTGAAATGTACTAATATTTTTGGTCATTTGACTCAGTTGATTAACTTCAAAATTATGTTGAAACAATGAAAAGAAAAATAATGAGAAATGCATTATACAAATAACACTTGTGTGCAATGGGTTCTTTTGTGAGGGAAATTCAGAGGGGATAAAATCCTCATTTGGCATACAGATATTTTGCGATCCCATAATCAAGGTTGAAGATCACGCAACTCCTCGTTTAATCAAATTTGAGTTTGTTTCCACTCAATCATATATCTGACCCTATATAAACCCAATTGTAATATGTTTTTAGGGATGGAAAATTAGTCACAGAAAGCAAACTAAAAATTTCTTATAAAACATAACAATGGACGTAAGCTTTACATTACGAGTAGACGAAACACTTTAAGAAGTTCTTTGTGTTTTGTGTTGATTCTAACATATTCATCATCATATTGTTCCATCTCTGATCCATAGGGATCATGCATACATCCTACGTGATTTTAATACTATCAATATCGTACCTCTAATTGGTGCAAAGTGTCTGCATCAACATGTTCATTTACTACTTTGCTCTTTTATTTTAGTGAAACTCTTTGTTAATATCTTTATTTTTGGAAGAATATGAGAGTTTATTTGTTTTAAAATCATTAACAAAAGTCCATTTTAATTCAAATTCTCATATTTCTTATTATTATGTTTTAATTAATTAAAGCGTGTTTAGACTGAAATCACGGGTAATGAGTTGAATTTACATAGGTATTTTTCAAATAATAGCAATTGAAATGGGGGTCTCTAAAATAACCGAAACTAAAGGGAGGAAAATGTACTTCGTCTTTGTTTCAATAACATGAGCTTGTCTCTTTCATGCTATACATCAACGTCAACATTTTCAGGTACCACATCAATATTTTTTTTAATTCTGATTTATATAAGATAACAAAGTTAAAAAATCAAAATTTTACCATTTTATTGAGCAAAAATTGATTATTTTTTTCATTTAATATTAAATAACATTTTAAGATGATTTAGGGGTTTTAGTAGAAACCACTCCCAAAAGCTAACTTAAGAGAGTAGGGACGAGTTCGAGTCCTCATGGTTGCTAATATGAGTGATCACTAAAACTCTATTCGATGATAGTTTCAGGGTCCCTGTTAGCTCAGACACTTTCTGCATTTGAAATTAAGCATGAAATATATGATCACATCTCTCATACACAATTTTGAAACTTAAAAAAAAATTCAGCTTGTGAATAAAAAGAATAATAGTAATATATTATCATTTAAATCTATTTTTTATACATTAAAGTTTGATATTATCCAAGGGTTTCTCTATAAAAGATTATATTACAAAAAAGAATTTGTTATCACGAATCAAAGAATGTATATAAATACAGTTATGGACTAAAATTTCTGAATCTCCTCGTACGAGATTAGAAAAGTTTACTTGCAAACTCCTCTACCTCGGTTCCATATATGCGAGAATGACTTGATTTCTTGGCAATATTTCTCAGCTGAGAAGTGCTTCTTCCCAGCAGTAGAGCTATTTTCTGTTCAAACATCTCCCCGTTTTCTCTCTTCTCTACATCACTTGCATTGAGAGTGGTTTCAATTGATTCTTCCAAGAGTGTGAAGAAGCCAGCGCAGTTTCTATACATCTCCAACACCATGCCAACTTGCCCACCGTGCTCTAAAGTGTTAACTGTGGTAGCTAACGCGCCTGCAGCCACCGTGATAACAGCAGCCCATGACCCGTGAGGAGACCCCACGAAAGCAGACCCAACAGCGGCAATGCCGGTGAGTAATGGCCCTGAGATGGCTAGAATCTTGTTTATCTTCAACGCCAAGTTGCCTAGTCTCATGTAATCTTCTGTATCTTTTAACACTCCAATAATCTCTCTCATTTCCACTTCCAGATCTTCACCCCATCCATTTTTCTCCGTATTCATGCTACTTTGCTCTCTTTTATATGCGTTTTTGTTGTTTGCCTGAGACTGATTTGATGGCCACCAAACAGCAGGCTCAAATGTTTTAGGGAACTTCTCTATCATTTTACCTAGCAAGGGAAGTGGGTATGCACGGTCAAGCGCCAAAACTTTCTCCATTGCTTCTTTCACGTCGGCTTCACTGGGAAACCTTAGAGCAAGGACGGTTTGTATTTCTCTCTGGATCTTCTTGAACAATCTTGTTGCGTTACGTTGCTCTTCTGCAAGTTGTGAGGGCTGGATCTTGTTCACCATAACCATCATCCCAGCGGCTGCAGAGAACAAGAGAGTTGATGATAACTTCAAAGCCAAAAGTGAATGCTTCGCGAAACTCCTACGCTTTCCACACTTGTTCTTGTCACAACATTGCGAAATAATGTTGTGACACAAGTAAAGGAAGGCTCTTTTCTATGAGCGACTTACCTTATAATATATCATTTAAATAATTGATGTGAAATCATTAATTAAGATCCTCCCATATATTGATTTATGGAAAGGGCAATTAATTTAATTATTGGTTTAGTGGTATACAACTATGAATGTTAGCAACTTAATTATTCATTTAATATAATGCAAATTGAAAAATATCAAACACGTTTTACTTTATATTGGTTACTTTACCTGAACTAAAACTGAATAAAAACATATATACACTTCACAGGTTTTTGAAGAGTCAAGTTTCTATGAAGTGATTAAATAAATAAAAGTCTAGCAGCAGGCAGACATGCAGCGAGCTCGATTAACTGGAATATGTCTAACTTTTGACGGCTATTACCAAAATCCAGCTGGTCAAATATCTGATCACCAAAATCCAGCTGGTCAAATATCTGATTTTACTGGGTAAAATTAACTAGAATCTTGGCAAAGCCCTTTGATTCGTGGTTTAAAGAAAACCAAAAAAATGAGCATAAATGAATATGGAGATAAAAGTTTGACGAAATAAGGGGTCGATTTTGTTGTTAGTCAAAAAGACAAAATTTTTGGGGTAATCATAGCCGTTGAGTGGCCTTTTGACTTCTTCAGGTTTTACAAGTTTATTAAGCATTCAACCATTTTGTCTACAGAGCCTCGCCACACTAGTTTGAAACCTAGACAATTCAACTCATATATATAAACACAAAAATATTTAGATATAGAAAATATATGTATTTTATAAAATCAACCATCGGGGCAAAACTCCTCTTATGATACAGATTTTCCTTCTTTTAAGAAAACTCTTACTCAGCAACTGAAAGTTGTACCTTCCCAAACCATACAACCTGACGGTTCATAACCAAAACTCTTTCATGCCAAAGTAGTTTTTGCATAAGATTGCTTTCTCTCTGAAGAGGGAGAGAATTCCAGTTCATAACACTTTTCTCTATGTTTTCTCTAAGCCCTTAAATTCAGTCTTCAACCTAAAAAATGTGACTAAAATAAATGTTAAATAATAATTTTTTTTTTTTTTTTTTTTGGGTAAATTTTGATATAATACATGAAGTTAAAACTTTTATCCATTATGTTAACCAGCGATAAATCATAATCGTCAATTAACAAGGTCCGTAGTTGAGACTGACAATATATTTATATACATAAAATTAAACTATTATTTGAAATTTGAAGTGGCAATATTGAAATGATAAAACCACCCCTACGTGGCCGGACAAGGACTCTTGAGTGTATTATATAAGAGGTCCTAAGTTCGAATCACCTCGGTTGTTAATAGGAATAACCATTGGAGAGTATCTCCGATTGTTAACTTCAAAACCTTGAAAGATTAGTCGAGATGTGCTCAAGCTGGTCTGGACACTAAGATGATTTAGTTGTCGTTAATAGCAAAAAATTAACTTGTTTGTTTCTGAGGACAACATGAACATATGATCATTAATATAATCAATAATTAAGGAGTATGTTTTATATATCTGAAAATGGAATGAAATAATTTCTGTTGTATGAAATTAAAAAAATAATTAATTAAATTAGAGGCTATTAATATCTTCTCTATACATGATTACACACTAGATATATATTTGTTATCACAAGAATCAAAGAATGTAAATTATCTCCGATCAGAAAAGTTTACTTGCAAATTCCTCTAGTTCGGCTCCATCTATGCGAGAGTAAATTGATTTTTCGGAAAGATCTCTCAGTTGAGAAGTGCTTCTTCCCAACTGTAAAGCTACTTTCTGTTCAAACATCTCCCCATTTTCTCTCTTCTCCACCTCACTTTCATTGAGAGTTGCGTCAATTGATTCCTCCAGAAGTTTGAAGGAGCCAGCGCAGTATCTATACATCTCCAACAACATACCGACTTGTACACCATGCTCCAATTTGTTAACTGTGGTAGCTAATGCGCTTGCAGCCATCGCAACGACAGCAGCCCATGACCCGTGAGGAGACCCCACGAAAGCCGACCCAACAGCTGCAATGCTGGTGAGTAATGGCCCTGAGATGGCTAGAATCTTGTTTATCTTCAACACCAAGTTGCCTAGTCTCATGTAATCTTCTGTATCTTTTGTCTTTAATACTCCAAAAATCTCTCTCATTTCAACTTCCAGATCTTCACTCCATCCATTTTTCTCCATATTCATGCTACTTTGCTCTCTTTCATATGCATTTTTGTTGTTTGCCTAGGAGTGATTTGATGGCCACCACACAGTAGGCTCAAATGTTTTAGGGAACTTTTCTATCATTTTACCTAGCAAGGGAAGTGGGTATGCTTGGTCAAGCGCTAAAACTTTCTCCATTGCTTCTTTCACGTCGGCTTCACTGGGAACCCTTAGAGCAAGGACGGTTTGTATTTCTCTCTGGAGCTGCTTGAACAATCTTGTTACGTTACGTTGCTCTTCTGCAAGTTGTGAGGGTTGAATCTTGTTCACCATAACCATCATCCCAGCGGCTGCAGAGAACAAGAGAGTTGATGATAACTTCAAAGCCAAAAGTGATGAAACGCCTGCGCAACCAGTTGCAGCAACACCAGCCATGGTGGTAGCAGTGAGAGAAATCATGTTGATAGAGTTCAACAGAAGGGTGTTCCAGTTGTCACGTTGCTGGCCCAGGTTGTTGTGCATCTCAACTCTATCAGCAACAGACTCTAAGATAGAGTAAAGTTGGGCTGTCACCATTGAATTAGTAGAGTCGCCAGCATTGTTTTCTTGTATTGATGTGCTAGGGACAATCTTTTCTACTGGGATTGAGCTTGTATTTTTATTAGCTCTCATCCTCAGTTGCTCAACCAAGTCTATACTCCGTTTTTTTGGAGCAGACAAACTGATTCTTGGGAGTTTTGGGACAGATATAGCAGCATTTATTCTATTTGAAAAACAACACGAAGATGAATAAAAAAGGTGTTGTGAGTGAATGCTGAAACAGCGTCGTACTGAGTATTAATGGAACGGTGTCGTTTTGAGATAGCTCCAAGATGATCCTGACCGCTGATTCAGAGGAAAAACCAACGGCTGAGATCAAGCCTCTAGTCAACACTATAAAAGGGTTAGGGTTTCTTATTGTAACAGTAGATCAAGCATAAAAGTTGAGAGCCGTATTTCATTTTCTTTTGTGAGATTACGGTTCTTTCTTTTGGGTCTGATTTCAGTGTAATCTGTGGGTTTCTTGAGTGGTTTGGGTTAATCAATCAAGGGAAGAACTACTGTGTTCTTATTATAGGGATTTCCAGGTTAGAGGATTCCTAGGGCAGATTACGGGTTTGAATCAAAGTTGTTTGATCTGGGTTCTTGGGTGTCATTCTTTGTAATCATGACTGTAATTGGTTGTTCTATAATATAGTGCAGCGAACTCCTTTTCCGGAGTTCAATGTGGATGTAGCTTGCTCAAATCGGGCAAGTGAACCACGGTAAAGATCCGGTGTTGATTGTTTTGTGGTTTCTATTTTCTTGTTTATTTATGGTTGAATCTTGGTTGATTTCATAACAGTGGTATCAGAGCTATCATCCTAGGGTGTATCTAGGTTTTAGAAATCGTTTAATTTTTTGACGAATAAAAAAATTAGGGTTTGCTAAAAAAATTAGGGTTTCTCAGATTTTAGGGGTTTCTCAATCCAAAGGTTCCTAGAGGCTTAGAACTTTGATTCTTACTGAGTCTTGGGGTTATTTTTGTGAGAGTAGATCACAAACACTGGTTAAGGGGAGTAATCTTGGTCATTGCCTTGAGTCTGTACTTGTAGTGTTCTTTTCGGGTTTTTTTTTCTGTCAAGTTTAAGGGTATATAGGCTGGAAACCAGTGATTGCCTTAAAAACTGCCTGACAGTATTTGGCAACTTCTAGTGTAACAACGCCACTTACACCTTAGACTGTATCACACTGTCTGTACAATACCATGAGCACTACACGTATGGAGATCTCCCAATACAATGGGAAGATCGATTTCGGGATTTGGAAGAAGAAAATGAAGGCTCTGCTTTCACATAATAAAGTCGGCCTTGTACTGGAAAAGGATCAAAAGAATGGTCCGGGAGAAATTGAAGGAGAATGAGGAGATTGATGAAGCAGCCTACAATCTGATGTGATGAACCTCTCAGACAGTGTACTGAGGAAGGTTGTTGGAATCGAAACCCCTCTGGGGTTATGGGGTAAACTCGAAACTTTGTATGCACTTCAATCTGCACCAAACTTAGCTTTTCTCAAGGGTGCTTTGTTTTCTTATAAAATGGATAGTAGCAAGACAATAGAGGAGAACCTAGATGAATTCCTAAAAATGACCTTAATTTTAAAGCGCACAGATCAGGAACTAGGAGAGACTAGTCTAGCCATGATACTGTTAAACTCCATTACCGAGGATTATCTTGTTGTTAAGAATGCACTACAGTATTTTGGTACTGTCCCTAGTGTTGACTTGATTGTGGCTGGTCTTAAGGCAAGAGAACTTGAGTTAAAGGTCCAAAGACGAAATGGGAGTAACCTATTTGTTAGGGAAAAACTAGATACCTTTCAATCTGGTAAAGGCAGTCAACCTAGCCAGAGGTCCAAAAACAAGAAACGGGGCAAATGGAACAATAAGCATAAGGCAGAGTCTAGAAAATGTTTTTTCTGTAATAAAACTGGTCATCTGAAAAAGAATTGCTTTGAATGGCTTAAGAAACAAAAGCAGGGAAACACAGAGAGTAACCTAGCCTTATCCAAACACTTAGCTGAAGAAACAGAGGTACTTACTCTCTCTGTTTCTGACAATACAAAAGAGTGGGTGTTAGATTCTGGGTGCTCTTTCCACATGAGCCCCAATAGGGACTGGTTTCAAGACTTTAAGGAGTATGATAAGGAGACTGTGTTCATGGGGAACAACAATGCCTGTAGGGTCAAAGGTAAATGTAGTATAACCCTTAGACTCTGTAGTGGGAAACTAATAAAGCTTACTCATGTTAGATACATTCCAGAACTCAAAAGGAACCTCATATCCTTAGGGACCTTAGATGAGGAAGGATGCTGTTACAGAGCCGAAAATGG